ATGCAATATGCATCCAAGAGATGTTGTTTCTTTCTCAAATGTATATATAATTAGTATACGATAACAAATAAAGAAATGATGTTTACCTGCTAGGAAAAACTCCTCCCAAAAAAATAAATAAAAAAATAAATAAATAAAGACCTATAGGTCTATAGCACAGTGGTAGTGCTCCATAGGTTACCAGGAAAAGGTTTAAAGTTTAATCTCACCTGGTTATAAAAATTTATCATCTTTATAATTGATTGATCAGCTTTCAATTCATGTCGTACCCAATCAACCAACAATCTATTTCCAAATTAGTTAGGCTATATGAAGATGGGATCTCTGGTCTTTCTAACGATCGCAAGCTGAAAACAGGTTGAAACAAGAAAGGTTGCATGAGGAAAAGTTTCTGGTTTAACTCCAGTATAAGCCCATAACCCCAACTGGCATGACAAACTTTGTAGCACCACCTCCTATTTAGGTTGAATGGTTTTCTAAATAAGTTGTATTCAATTAGCCAATTTCTCCAAATTGGCACGGCAGACTCTGTATAATGCAAGTCAGACCTCACTATCCTATTTGATATTAGCGCAATTCAGATTGATGACTTAATTAAGAAAGAGTAAGGTCACAAGTCAAAAAGGTGACTGCTAGAAAGGTTTTTCAACTGTTAGACAGGATTTTTCTTACCTTATATTTATAAATAGAAAGTCATAGTATAAATCAGTATATGAATTTATCTATTTGGTGTAAAAAGTTAATATTCTGATAAAAAGGAGCAGGTAGCTTGAGTTAATATTAGCAATATGTTAATAAACTATTCATATGTAAACAATTGTAATCTTAAGTAATCTCACAATAAAGTACATGCATGTATTGCAACTTAGCTCCTAAAAAAAAAAAATAAATAAATAAATAAAAATAAGAAAAAATCCAAAGAAAATTTATAAAAAAGTAATTGTTATAAACTTTTTCATATGCAATTCAAAAAAAAAAAACAAGATTCTCAAATTTGCTTTTTCTTGATTAGAAGTTTTATTTCAATATATTAAATATTTTTTTTAATTTTTTTTACTTATATTACTTTTTATAAAAAAATTTTTAAGATTCTTGTAATAAAGATAAGAGAGACATATAAGATTTTTAAATATTAAAAGATAAAAAATATATATTTGTTTCTTTAATTTTGAAAAAAATTATTATAAAAATAAATAAAAATAAAAAATATATATTTGTTTCTTTAATTTTGAAAAAAATTATTTATTATAAAACAAAATTTTTTTATAAATATTTTATATAATAAAAATTTTTATTTGATTTTTTCTTAATTTAAAAAAATAATTTTATTAATAATTATTAAAAAAACTTAATATTTTATTTTATTAATTTCTTATACTTTCCATTATTACTATATATATTTTTGTATTATATCTTTTTATGTTACACAGAGCTCGGACGATCAAATCTTCGGATAACGCGAATCGATCAATGTTTCTTTTTACCTTTCTGTTTATAAAATCATGACTTTCCTAACCTACTTCACCCGCAAAACAATGTCCGTCATTCCTTTTACCGCTCATCATACCAAATCCATCTTTCCAAGCTACACTAGATTTCTTCATCTAGATTCTTTCTTTCCAAGATCAATCACTCCATCTCATTTTGTCAATCCGTTCGTTCAATCAAGAATCTTGCCGTCACCTTCAATTATCTCGCTAATAGGAGGAGTTCGTGGAATGAAAGTTCGATCTTCGGTAAAGAGACTGTGTGATGGTTGTTATACGGTCAAACGGAAGGGTACGGTGTATGTGCTTTGTAAGAAGAATCCAAAACATAAACAACGACAAGGCTAAATAAATCTACGGGGTTACAAGAGTTTTTTCTCACCCTTTGCCGAATCCGAAAAAGAAAATTTATTCCTTATTAAATAAAATAATTACTACTGTATAGTCTATTCATAAAGCGGCATGCTCTACTATCAATGTTGTTCTTTCCACTTTCCTAAACATTGACTCCTGAATCCAAGTTTATGATTAACATGTATAAATATCTTTTTTGCAATTCTCTTTTATCTTGAGGTTGGAACCTTTCGTACGTATTCTCATTTGGTTCACATAAAGTAATCATGAGACCGCTGGTATTGCATTAGATGAACTTTATAATAACGAATTAAAGTTAGATGACCTTCGGAAAAAAAAATCGTGATCTTAAAGAAATACCTTAGGCTTCCAATAACGATTAAGGTTGGTTGTTTTATTAATATTTATTAAGTACGGAAAAGAATACGTGCCGATTACTATTACCAGATCGATTATATTTAAAAAAAAGTTTCCATCATCATTAATAAGAATGATTTTGCCGAGCCATGATTCAATCTTTCAATGGTTGAGTTTAGGTTTCTTTTTCGATTAAGTTTTTTATTTGATTGCTTCGCTAATGGATTTTATGGACTCACCGGATCTATTAGATATTTTTTTCGTCGATGAATTAATAACTAATAATTCTTGTCACTGATAAATGGATATTTATAAATGCCACCATATAGATATAAGGATGGCATTAAGTAATTATCAGAGTTAGTAAATCACAAATTTTATTTGTTTGGCAAGATAAACTCTAACTTGTTTATGTATAAAGATGGATTCTGAAATTATTTACATTAACGATGTTTACTTCCTATTTTATAGAAACATTTGAATTAATTTATTTTCAATCAATTTAAGATTATTGTATTTAAATTTATGAATTAAAAATTAAAAAAATTGTTAAATCTATATTAAATTAAAAAAATATAACTTTAAAAAATTATATATATAAAATTAATATTATTATATTACTAAATTTAAGTTTTGGTTTATTATATTTTATTAATTTTAAAAGATTTTTTAACATTATATATATACAATATACATGCCTATATATTTAATTATATTAATATAAGAAAATATATATTTATAATTCAAATGATTTTTTGATTTTATAACACAAAAATAGACTTTTTAACTTGTTGTATTGTTATATATGAGAGATGTTGTTTCTTTTACAATGTTATACAAATTAAATAATGAAATAATGTTTATTTACAAAAAACAAAAAACAGATTTTTGAAAATTTTTAAAAAACAATAATTTGATTATTAAATTATTTAAATAAAAGAATTATAAAAAATTATACATAATTTTATCAATCATTACATACTTAATATATATATTTATAAATTTATAATTATTTTTATAATTAATAAAAAATAATAATTTGATTTTTAATCTAATTTTTATAATATATTGTTACAATATAACAAAAAGATTTTTTAAATAAATTTGATTTTTGAATCTTTATATTAAATAAATAAATCATATAATATATAATACAAATTTTATATATTTGGATTTAACTTTATTATTAACTTTTTTTATATTATATTTAATTTTTTTAATTAATTCTAAATATTATAAAATTTAAATTTAATTATACATATATAATTAATTATTATTATAATTTTAAATAAAAATTTTAAATTTAAATTATAATATATTATATAAAGATAATTAATTGAAACTCATATAATTTATAAGTAAAAAATAAATAATATAATAAGAATAATAGTAAATTAAAAATTTGTAAGGTTTAATTTATTTGAATTTTTTTTAAAAAAATTACAAATAGATATTAAACATGAAACTTTATTTAAACAATAAGTTTATTGTTATTATATTAATAATTTTTATAAAATAAAAGCACCAAAACTATCAAATCAATTAAAATTTGATTAAATATATTAATAATTTAATCAAAATTGGTTTGATTCAATTAAACTTAATCATTTTTATTTTAACTTAAAGATCAAACTAGTCATTTTATAATAAATAATAATAATATACTGTATATATTATTATTTTTTTTTTTTTAATGTTAAGGTGAAACATAACTGTATATATTATTTGAAATAATTTATTTTAAAAAAAATTTATATGTAAATTATACTTCAAATATTTTTTATTTATAAAAAAAATTAAAGTATAATCTATAAGTTTAAAGAATCATAATTTAAGTTTATAATAACTTATTATTAAATTAAGGACATATTTCTTGATCAATAAGCATTTTTTATTGTCTTATAATCATGTGACATTGGAACAGTTAAATTGCTTGGGACCTGAACCAGAAATTTAAAACAGTTTAACATCCCTATCGCTATTAGTATATCAAGCGTTAAAAATTATCTATAAATCCAAAGGAGTAATCAGTTGTAAGAATGTTTTGTTGAGTTGGACCTTGATAAATTTCTGGACCGTTTGTTTGTTTACATAAAAATTATTTCACGCAAATGATGATAGATTAGGTATTCAAATTTTATTAACGATATTGAAATACAATAAAGTTGCTATATTGGACTGGATCATATTAATGAAATGATAACATAAAATGAGAAAATGCAGTTTTCCAGTATCTGCTATATAGCTTGGCCAAACATCATCAAAGTACTAATCCAAGCCCTTAAGTATCTTCGCTCTTTTTTTTCTTAAAAAAAAAAAAACAGAAAAACACCGTCCCTTTTTATACTATAATGATGATGGTAATATAATAATTGCCAAATAAAGATGATTTCGTACAGAAAAATAATATTTTTGATAATTTTGTTAGAATGTGATATATATATTTATAAGTTACACGTGTATTATTAGGCGTTGAAAATAAGAACATTTATGGTGTAGGAAAAATTAGGATGCGATTAGTAAAAAGACATTAATATGTAAAAAAAACTACTATAAACTGATTAGAAAAAAGATTTTTTTTAAAGAAAGGATGGAGATAATTTTTTTGATTGATAAATCATCACAATAAACATTGAAACTATAAATTATTAACTATTGTTTTTCATCGGAGGTAGTTGAGGTTTCGACGGTAGTCTTCTCTTCAATTACCTCTGTGGGTTTCTCCTCGACTGTCTCCGCGGGTTTCTCCTCAATTTCCTTCTCGGGCTTCTCTTCGGTTATCTCTTTGGTTTTCTCGGTTATCACTACGGTTTTCTCCTCGGTTATCTCTAAGGTTTTCTCCTCGGATTTAACTTCGGATTTAACTTCGGTTATCTCTACCTCGGTTTTCACCACAGTTTCCCCGACGATTTCTTCAATTTTCTCGGTAACTATTTCCTTTGTCTCTGTCGCCTCGGTTTGAACTTCTTCAACCTTCTTTTCCGGTGCCTTAGAAGATGATGGATCCGTCACCGGAAGCGATTTTCTATAGTCTTCGAGTACGGTGATCCACTCATTTCGTTCAGTCTCACTTGGAGCAACGAGTTTGTAGCCTTTTGATTTGGTATCAATTTCAAACTCGGTTTGTTTGTCTTCAACCTTGGTGATCTTAACCTCATGAGTAATCGGAATTTTTTTGGGTTCCGATTCATCCTTTTCGCTCGTGTAGTAATTTAAAGTTCCTTCCTGGGTAAATACAAAGTATCGTGGTTTATATGTCTTCCTCAAATTCACCTTTCGCTTGGTTAACTTATCCAGTTGACCGTACTTGCGGGGAGATTCTATCTTTTTTAATACTAAATTCTCGGATTCCTTATTATCTGTTGCATCGGCGGCTGATTCGATGGTCGTTGTCGTAGGTTGTGTTTCGGGTTCTACTTCTTCAGGTTGCACCGGTTGTGTTTGTTTACTTAACCTGTAATTGAGAACATTAAACATTATAAGCCATCGGTAAATCGCAATTTAAGATCATAATTCATTATTTGTTGTTGGCATTACCTTTTCTTAGAGACCTCCTTAGTAGAATCCTCGGTTTCTTCCTTCTCGGTGGAACTTCCCGCCGCTGTTTCCGGTACGTCTCTAGTTGGCCCACTATCATCCACTATAGTTCTCTTAAATACTTGAGTGACTCTGCGAAATATTCCAGCGGTAGCTTTCTTTGGGTTAGAACTTTCCGGTTTTATGTCAACTTTGTCAGCCTCCTCGTCAGGATTTTCAGCTCCGTCTGTTATTTTTTCGGCGACTTCTTCGATAGCTTTCGTTGTTTCTTCGGTAACTTTGGTTGCCTCTTCGGTTACTACTGTTTCTTCAATAGCCTTCGTTGTTTCTTCGGTAACTTTCGTGGCTCCTTCGGCTGTTTCCTCGGCAACAATCTCAGCGGTTTCAAGTACAGTCTCTGATAATAGATAATTTACGGTTATTTTTCAAGATGGTCATATTCTAATAGATAAAATGATTATTTGCTTACGTTCTGCAGCTTCAACTTTAGGTTCAGAGGTAGATCTGCTGAAAAATTTTTTAAACGAGAATTTTTGAACTGTAGGACTTGCTTCGACTTTTTCAACCTTATCGATAGTCGTCTCGGTATTTACAACCTCCACTTTTGTTTCGGCAGCAGTACTGGTTTCAGCAACTACGGTTTCTTCTACACTTTCCTTTATTTCCTTATCTTTTTCAGACTTCTTTCCTCCTCCAAAGAAGTTTGTGAAAAACAGGCTAGGTCTTCTTTCGGGTGGTTTTTCCCCTGTCGTTTCATTAGTGGTAGTAGTGGTAGTAGTAGTGGTAGTTTTGACAACAGTGTCACCACTTTCCTCAACTATCTCAGCGATTTCGTTAATAGTGGTAGTGTTAGTGGTGGTGGTAGTGGCTTCGGTCTTCTCGGTCTTCGCGGTCTTTTCAGGTCGCCTGCCTCCAATGAAGCTTAAATATTTGCGTTTCGACTTAACTTCGGTATCTTCACCCGAAGTATAATTTTCGGAGTCGGAAGTGACACCGCCGCCTTCCTTTAGGAAACGTTCTTGAGCTATGAAACAGAAATGATTTAGGCCACCGATTGTTTAATAGGCGAGAAATGAGTATATTCTCGAATAGCATACAAACAACACGACTTTGCGTCAACTTACAAACTTGATCGTATACACTTTTGTACTCTTCTGTTTCGGGCAAAGGATATTCTTTTGCCTCTTGGGCCTTTGCTTGGATGGTTTTTATCCAACGTTTTTTGGTAGTTTCATTCTCGGCCTTCAATACGTATTCGCGATATTCGGTAATTATCTTAAATTCATGTGCCTTTCCGCTGGTACCACATTCTTTTACTTCTTTCACAAATTTCAGATTGATAATACCGTGTGGCTCGTTCGTGTGGTCACTGGATTTATAATAGAACAAAAGACCTTTTCCAGTTTGACTAGCGTGAGCAATGTTAGCACAAAGGGCATGGAGGGCACGTTTGGGGTCGTCATTTTTCACTTGTGATGTTTCGCCAGATGCCTCAGTGGCGGCGGCTGTAGAAGTTTTGGCACCTTCCTCGGCGGGAGTTTCTTCAGGGGAAGTTGCACTTGGCGAACCGTGAGATTGCCTTATGGTTCTGCGAGTTTTCTTATAATACTGACGAAGATTTTCCACAGAATACTTTGTTTCACTGGTGCCAAAAGCGAAATAACGAGCATTCCAGTTAAAAAGATATGGAACGCTTATGCTTCGTTTTTCCAGTGTACCATTTTCAATTGGATCATCCTCGGTTTCTTTGGGGGTGGGGGTTTGAATTACTTCAGTCTCTTCTTCCTTGGTAACCTTTTCAGGCTCGACAGCAGCGCTGGTGCTTGTAACGTTATCAGTCATTATTGTAAAGTGACAGTCCTTAAAGAAATGCTGGATATATAACCGATCTGTAGATGATTCTTAATGATTCTTTTCTTTTCTTTTTTAAACACGGAGGTAAGGGGAAAGAAATAATAAGAGAGACGATGGTGAGTGAAGAAAAAAAAAAGAGGAGGATTCAGTTCAAAAGTGATGTAAAAAAAAAAAAGAAAATATAAATTAGTATATAGTAGGATAGGCAATATATATGAAGGCCACTTTTGGTAGGAAAAAAAACAGGCTGAGAATTTTTTTCTGGAGAAAAAGGAAGGGATGTGATGAAACGAGCAGAGAAAGGAAAGTTGAGGAAGTAAGGGAAACTCAACGAGGTTATAACAGGAGTAGACCCAAGAACCAACCAACTAAATAAAGGGGTTAAATGATCACTAGGGTGATACGAGAAGATCAAGCGAAATTCTTGTGCACGGATGATAAGTGCGCTCGACGTTGTGCTGTTTACCGTTGTGCGACGATTGTATATGAAATTAATTTAAATACATCATGAAAGAGTAACATAAATAAAAAAAAAAAAAAAGGCAATTGCGGAGTGAATAATTATAAAAAGCACCATAACACCGTGCATACATACTCATATACAGTACATTTTCAAATATGGGAAACATGCGATTCATTATTATTTGTGTTAAATTTTTTTTGTATTATGAACTGAGCAGCTGTGCGTTGTGCAATAAAATTGTGAATACGCGAATGCTTTACCAAAAGTAAAACCTTTTTATTTCAGCAGAACTAGGCGCAGTGTGGTGGGACACACTACGTGAGAAAGAATGAAAGAGAGTACACACGTCCCAAATGTAATTAATATGCATCTAATTGATAAAAGAGTGGTGTTGGTGGTGTTGGTGTCAACGAATGAGTGATACCAAGTATATTAAGAATCTCTTAATTCGATAAAAAGATCATAATAAATTAATTATTCATATACACGACATAAAGATCTGCACTTAATCTAAGAAAAAAAAGTTTTAAACTCACCGGTTTACACAGCATTCAATATTCTCTCCTCTCCTCTCCATCCCAGCTAGAAAGAAAAGAGTCAAGCTGCAGCTGCATAAGATAACAACGATCATGCCTGTAGAAACTCTTAATGGATAGTTATCTACATAACATGCATACCGATGGTCCATACATTTATCTACGGTGCGCGCTGCCAATAATGAACAGGCACAATATTGACACGTGAAGGCAATTTGTAATGGAATTGCCAATCATCCGCCTTCCCTCCAAATTCGGTATATTGTACAATAGATGGTGTTGAGACATTGGCTGCTTTGTTCGTCAATTAAGGAAGCTTTAATATAAATAAAATCTTAAATATATTAGGAACTCTTCACCGTCGTTGTAATGTGTAAGTTAAATTACATTGAATGCTTAATTTAGTGAATTAACGTGTCGTCGATGCCACACGCATCATACACGCATATTGTACATCTTCTTTTCAACCAAACTAGAGAATTAACTGGACTCGGCTATATATAGTTTTCGTACACAAATGCGCTCTGTCAACACCATATGATCGCAGGCAATCGATTGCTCCGAGGAGAAAGAGATCATGCATATGATGCACGAGTTCACCGATCTTCAATAATAATTCTCGTATCAAAGGGACTGACTTTACAAATCTTATAACCGATTTCAATTATTAATTATTAGTGTGTTGGAGAAATTCCTCTTAAGAAAATGATCATCCCCTGATTCCGAAATATGAGAAACCCGGCTTACAAAACCAGAGATATTCGACATCCAACATCTCTCACTACTAATTCGTACTTCACTTGTCACGTGACATAATGTCATCATAATATTGTTTATCACTTACAAACAGATCATTTACATTCAAAACAGACAATTCCTCAACAATAAATCTTATTTACTAATTAAGTAAAGCCAAAATATGGCAATGATCGCTCACCCATTATCTATAGCCCTGCCGCCAAAAAAGTGCACTATTGTTCCTAAAGCATTATCGCGAATTCTTTACGCCATCGCTAGCATGTTGGTTCGTCATCCAGTACGACACTTCTCCATTTATCCAATTTTGGTCTACACCTCACTGCAAGGTGGTAAATTCTAAGAGATGTCACGTGAATATTAAGTTCACTTCCTCCGCATCTGTCAGCCAAACCTGTTTGAAATCTCAATTTAATTGTATGTCTTAATTTTGTCCAAATCAGTCAAAAATTTATACATTTATGGACTTATTATGTTAATCCTTCACATTGGGTGACAACTATTATAACATAATTTACAATAAGTTTCTTTTGAGAATCACGCTTCTTTTTTGTTTCATTCATTAAATTTATCAATGATCCTGGACATGACATTGTACGTGGGAAAAGTATAACTGAGATAAATCATTGTACAAACCTTCATTGTTTGTATTGTTAATTGCACATATTCCTTTGTTATATAATTTCATAATTCGCTTTAATACATACTTATCTATCAAAAAAAAGAATATTGTCATTCCGATTACGTATACGAAAAATCTCCTGACCAAATGTCAGCTGTTTGCACGAAAGTAGTTTTCGAATTGACCGATGACGTTATGCGATATTTATGGACAGATCACCAAACATTAATCAGGTTTCACAGTTCCGACTAACTGAAGGCACTAAAAAAAAAACAAAACGCCAAGGCAAAAAGAAAAAGGCGATGGCAATGGAAAGGAAACCAAAAAAAAAAAAAAACGAAAAATCTAAGGAACAGAATCCAGTCCAGGTTCCGGT